TGCTGCCGGCCGCCGAGCCAGAGACCATCGCTCTGCCGGCGGGGAGCTGCAGCTGGCGGGGGACTGGCGGGGCGGAGCGCGCCGGCTGTGGGCGGAGACAGCGAGTTGTGGGCGGAGACAGCGGGGTGTGGGCGGAGACAGCGGAATGACACACTGATACACACTGACACACACTGGATACACACTGGATACACACTGATACACACTGACACACACTGATACACACTGATACACACTGAATACACACTGATACACACTAAAACACTTTGCTCTCTCACACACTCCCCAGGTCGGCCCGCTGTGTCTCCGTCCCGCTGCTGTCAGACTCCTGACCCGACCCGGGCAGGTTCTGCTGGATCTCAGATGTTCTGGACTCCAAGAACCAGAAGCCTGCCACAGATTAGCAGCCCAGAAGCTCCAGGTTCTTCTGGACCAGAACCAGGCTCAGGTTCAGTTTGATGCTGATTCTAAAGGTTTGGGTCCAGATTAAAGTCTGATTTCATATTTGGACTCTAATCTGGAGTCAGACCTGGGTTTGAATCTGGGTCCAGTTCTGAACTCCAGATTGGATCAACATCTGGACCTGGTTCTGAACTCCAGAACTGGCAGTCAGTACACACTGAATAGAGAGTCAGTTCTGGGTCGATTCTGACTCGGTTAAAGTTCTGGGTTCAGTTGATGCTAAAATCCAGATTAAATGTAAACGCAGTATTAATCTGGATTTTGACAGTCGGACATCTGGGTCCAAACTCAGGAACCGGTTCCTGTCTTGCTCCAGGTCCAGATTAATAGATCCTGGTTTCCTCAGTTAAAACTGGATTAACATCAGAACCTCAATCTAAACCTAATTCCAGATTAAAGCAGAGAGAATGGATTTCAATCCAGATCCAGAGATTAGTTTCAGCTTGATGTGAACATTTGGATCTGGATTGGTTCTGGTCTAGAATAATCTCTGAGTTCAGATCCAGATTGGTTCTGGACTTTAATCTGGATTAAAACCAGGATTCAGATCTGAACTCATGTTGGCTCAGATCTCGACTGTGATGTCCAACAGAACCGGTTTGGTTCTGGAAACTGAATATTTTAATCTGAATTCAGATTAAGGTAGAACCAGTTCAGGAATGCAGATCTTTGCTCCGATCTGACAGACTGGACCTCAAGGAGGAAACCATTCACTACCCAGAACTGATAAAGGTTCTGGTGCTGGGCCGGTCCGGTCCGGTTCCTCAGCCTGTCCCAGTCAGACCCAGACGGCCCCGTTGACCTAGAGAACCACTAACCAGTGATGGAGGATGGACCCGGCTTGGTGTGGACTCAGAACCAGAACCAGAGGCAGCAGCACAGAGGAGCAAAGGTTGGCCTTGATTCAGCAGATTGTAATGGATTACATAATGGACCTCGGTACCAGCAGAACCAATGAACTATCATCATTTGGACCCGGTAGAACCAACGGAACCATCGTCGTTTGGACCCGGCAGAACCAGGACGTTCTGCTGCTTTACGAAGTCTCAGACTTTGAGGCGTAGCGATGCTCCTCTGCTCACCGTCACCCCCTGCTGGTTGATGGCTGCAGCTCCAGATGGATCAACTAAAAGGTCAGATTTAAACTGGACCGCTGGGGTCAGGAGGTCATAATGGTTAATGATGGCAGCATGGAGGTCAGAGGTCAAAGTTTATGGTTTATTTCTCCAAAACAGAAAGGAAATTTTACAGGATTTCTGCAGCATTCTCTGATTGGTCAGATCACAGATCACATGACCGCCTCTGGATCTCCAGAGATCGATTTCAGTTTGATACGCAGGAAAAGTTACAAAATCAGCAGGAAATAAAGAAAAAGAGGAAGAAACATCAGCTGGAGGACCAGCGTCTGATCTGGAGGACTCATTTAAGTCAACGAAGAAGAAATCATGAACCATTCCCGTTTGTCCTGCAGCTTCTGGTTGACAGGGGTGACCTTTGACCCCTCAGGCCTGGCTCAGCAGGTAGTAGGCAGCGGCAGACAGTAGAGCGCCCCCCAGTGGCAGCAGGAGGAAGGTGGTGCACCTCCTCCTCCACCTCCTGGCCCGGTCCTGCTCCTCGTCCACCTCCTCCCTCCGGCCGCGCCGCTTCGACCTCCGACCTCCTCGCTGCTGCCGCTTCTCAAAGGCCTCCAGCTCCTCCTGGTGGAGCAGAGGGAACGGCAGGATGAAATCTCCGGACCAAAACGGGTCACTGGGCTGGAACCGGGCTAACGGACCAGAGGTCGGATCGGCAGAACCGAACCTCCCACTAAGAACCCGGCCGTCCTCCAGACTCACCTGAAGCTTCTTCTGCTCCTCCTCCAGGGCAGCTTGTAGCTCCGCCTCCTTCACCTGGAGAACAAACACCATCAGACAGCCTGTCTCCAGGTGTGTGTGTCTCCAGTGTGTGTCTCCAGTGTGTGTGTCTCCAGTGTGTGTGTCTCCAGGTGTGTGTGTCTCCAGTGTGTGTCTCCAGTGTGTGTGACTCCAGGTGTGTGTCTGCAGTGTGTGTGACTCCAGGTGTGTGTGTCTCCAGTGTGTGTGACTCCAGGTGTGTGTGTCTGCAGTGTGTGTGACTCCAGGTGTGTGTGTCTCCAGGTGTGTGTGTCTCCAGTGTGTGTGTCTCCAGGTGTGTGTCTCCAGTGTGTGTGTCTCCAGGTGTGTGTGTCTCCAGTGTGTGTGTCTCCAGGTGTGTGTCTCCAGTGTGTGTCTCCAGGTGTGTGTGTCTACCTGGCTGGCCTTCCTCTTCTGGTCTTTGCAGACGAGGTCACACTGAAGTTCACTCTGAGCCGCCAGAGAACACATCACTTCCTGAAAGGACAGCAGGTCACATGAGGCTCTGAGCCAATCAGCAGGCTGGTTTATGACTTCAAGGATGCTTTTATTTCCCGCCTTTTTAATTTCACATAGTTTGGATATTTTCACATCCAACATAAGAACCATAAAGCACTGCTAGCTAACAGTTAGCTGTGCTAACCCTAAAGCACGACACAGTCTTCCAAATGTTTATGCAAATTGGGTTAAAGTGCCATAAAGTTTAAATTTCTTGTTGTGCTATTAAATGTATAGATGGCTTTGTGTGTCAGGGCTTTTTGAATCACTATAACTGGTTGATCACTTTAGCTCAATCAAAGTAAATCTACTTCAGAAGGATGTTCCACATTATTCATCAGGCCGCAGGATTCTGCTACTGTGAAGAGATTTGTGGCTGATTGAGAACAAAGATGGTTTAAAGGCTAAAGAGGAAAGTTTCTGTTTGATTCCTGGGATCAAGAGATCAGCTGCTGAAATGACCTTAAAGCAGCAAACAGTTATTACAGCTGCTGGAGCCTCAAGGTGGAGGATCCATAGGGGCCCCAACCTGCTATTGGACCCCTAACCTGCTACTGGGCCCGCTATGGACATAAAGGGGAGAAACTCATGGTGCGTCACTATCCTCCTCTGACCTCTGACCTCTGACCCTATTGGGAACCTGTGGAGTTTCCTCCAGCAGAGGGTTTAATGCAGGTCGTATGAAGCAGCAGCTCTGGAAGGTTTTCTGATATCCTGCAGAAACTTTCCACAAACTCACCAGTTCAATGGATGAAGTTTTATGCAGTGAAACCAGAGAAGGTCCAACATGTAACTCTGTGTGTTAAGATGTTTCTGGTTGAAACAGCTTTGATTTTAGGACATGTGACCATTAATGCTGCACATTCACAGAATGACTGTTTGCAGATCTTTATAATCCATAAACTGTTTAGAAAATCTGCTGTCATAATAATCTGGAAGTGAGCATTCTGAGTTTTTATTTTGAAATAAATCCTGTTCAGATGGGAGCTTTGGTCAGTAAAATCTGATTTATCCAGTAATACTTCATGACATTGAACTGACCATCATTTGACCATTTAGGAAAATGTGAGAAAATATCACATGCATAATCATTTGGAACATGGTGTAAACAGTTACGGTAAAGTGCTAAACCAACATGGTATCTAATGGGAGCTAATGCTAATCGCTACCACAACATGGTGTCTAGCAGTAGCTAATGCTAAAGCACTGTGCCGATATGGTATCTATAGTTAGCTGGAGCTAAAATGCTATTAGAGCATGAATGAAACACCAAAGCAAAACTCAACCAGATGTTTAGAAAGCTGAAAATTGGAGCTTTAGAATTTATCTGGAAAAATAATTTAAGTTAAATGTTTTCAAAGATGGTAAAAATGATAAAGCACTAAATGAAACATTAGCTCAACTATAAGCGCATCAGCTGGGAACCAACTGCTGGTTAAACTGGTGCTTCTTGTGTTGACCTTTGACCTGCTGGCCTTCACTAGCGTCTCCATCCATCAGACAGGAACCAGAACCAGGAAGTTAGAACCAGCATGGTTTAAATGTTGGCGACCGTTTACCTTCTTGATCCTCTTGCATGGACACCTGAGCTTCACCTTCTGCTGACACGTCTCCTCACACACACCTGGATGGCACACCTGTTTACAGCGATGGCCGCAGCTCAGCTAGAGAGCGAGAGAGAGAGAGAGAGAACGAGTGTGTGTGTGTCAGCGCTCCAGAACCGGGTCCAGCCTGAGGGTTCTGGTCCAGTGAAGGGAGAAAACAAACCATGTGTCTCTAAACGCGGCTGTTAGATCAGAGACGCTCCGGAGGTCTGAAAACAGACCACCTCTAAACGTCCTGCCCTGATTGGCTGCCACACTTTAAAGGGCCGGTCTCATGTTTTACAGCCCTTTCAGAGTTCCATCCAGTCTGTGTTGCCTTCAGTTGGGAGGAAAATGCCGTACATATAAATATATTTAAAAACTCCTGCTCTTTCTGAAGCTCCGCCTCCAGGAAGTCATCCCATCATGGCTCCTCTATTAACCCTTTAACAGCAGTTTGCTGGCGGAGAGGGGGAGGAGCTACGCCTCGAAAACATTAAAACACAAGTTGGTTTTACGTGACGCCGGCCCTTTAAGGTCTCCTGGTTCCACATGTATGACCAGGAAGTGGCCAATCAGAAGCCTCCCTGTGTGTGTCTGTGTGTGTGTGTCTGTCTGTGTCTGTGTGTGTGTCTGTGTGTGTGTCTGTCTGTGTGTGTGTGTGTGTGTGTGTGTGTGTCTGTGTCTGTGTGTGTGTCTGTGTGTGTGTGTCTGTCTGGGTGTGTGTGTGTCTCTGTCTGCCTGTGTCTGGGTGTGTGTGTGTGCGTGTCTCTGTGTGTGTGTCTCTGTCTGTGTGTGTGTGTCTCTGTGTGTGTGTCTCTGTCTGTGTGTGTTGTGTGTGTGTCTGTGTGTGTGTGTCTGTCTGTGTGTGTGTGTGTCTCTGTCTGTGTGTGTGTGTGTCTCTGTCTGTCTGTGTGTGTGTGTGTGTGTGTGTCTCTGTCTGTGTGTGTGTGTCTCTGTCTGTGTGTGTGTGTGTGTGTCTGTGTGTGTGTTTCTCTGTCTGTGTGTGTGTGTGTGTGTGTGTGTCTGTGTGTGTGTGTGTGTCTCTCTGTGTGTGTGTGTGTGTGTACCTCTTTAGGACACTGGTTGCTGCAGGAGCCCAGCTGGATCCTGGTTGGCTCGTCGGCGGCCGTCAGCTTCCTGCAGACAGCTGATTGGTTGAGACCCAGCACGGCCCTGAGGGACGGCGCTGCCATGGAAAGCCACTCACCTGCACTCCAGGTAGAGCGTGCTGATCCGGCAGTGGCAGCGCTGGCGGAGCATCTGGCTGCAGGGGGGGCAGTCGCCGGGGTGACAGGGGCGGGGGCAGAGGTGGGGGCAGCCGGGAGGGCGGGGCTTACCGCAGCCTTCCTCGCACGCCTCGCACTGCGGGGACATCCGATTGGTTAACGGGGCGCCCGTCCCGTTCGCGCTCTGACCAACGAGAGGCCGTCTCACCTGGTTGCCGTCTGACCAGGTGGCACTCCCGGCTGCAGCTGTGGTTCCCGCAGGCCAGCGGGCGCCCGCAGCGCCGACCGCAGGAGAAGCGGCCCTGACGGTGACACGGGACCGGGCTCACCTGCACACACAGAACCAGCAGCCGGGCCGGACGCAAAGGTCAGAGAAGGTCAGAGAAGGTTGCAGCAGATAGAGGAGCTGCGAGGACAGCGGCTGACATTTACAGCGACCAACAGAAACAAAGAGCCGACAGCAGAGATGGAGAGATAGGAGGAGGATACGGACCGGAACCGGGTCGGGCTCAGCAGAACTCTGCTGCAGAGTGAACAGACAACAGGAGGAAACGGGTTCTGGTTCTGGTTCTGGTTCTTACCTCATGCTCTCCGAAGCAGGACCTGAAACACAAAGAGAGAAACCGTCAGAGGAAGGAAACAGAACGGTCCGGTTCGGTCCGGCTCAGAGGAACAACCCAGAACTGGTCTGGTTCAGTGTGACCAGAACCTCTGACCCAGTTACCGCTCTGCAGGAACCGGGCCAGAACCTAACCCAGCTTGAGTTCTGTTCTGGACCCGGATCACAGCGGTTCTGAAGGCCCGCCTCCAGCTGCTGACGCCACCGTCCCTCTGATCCGACTGGGAGGTCAAACAGAACCGGGTCCAGGTCCGGGCCTGGCGGGAAGTCAGAACTTTGTTCTCACAGGACAAACAACCCCAGGGTCCGACCGAGCAAATCAGAACCAGAACCAGAACCAGGCTGTCGCAGAGCTGGGTGTCTGGACCAGAACCAGAACCAGGCTGCTGTTTGGGTCGGAGGTGAACTAATGACTGCTATCAGAACCTGCAGGCTAATGGGTCATGACAGAACCGGGCCCAGCAGAACCTGACTGCTGTTCATCTGGCTTCTGGCCCAGTTTGACTCCAACAGAACCAGAAGCTTCCAGCTTTGGGCCGGGCTCAATCAGAACCAGATGGTTCTGGAAAAACAATGTGAAGCAAAGAGCACAGAATCAGACTGAATAGATCCGCCTCCTGGACCGACCAGAACCAGAACCAGAACCAGGTTAATGTCACTAACGTAGATAATCAACATAGATCAGAACCACAGAGTCGGGTCACTTCCTGTTTAAATCAATATGTTTCAGTCTGTGATCTGACCAGAACCAGAACCGGGTCGGTACCTACGTGGGGATGGGGACCTGGCAGGGCGGGCAGGGCAGCGCTTTCTTGGTGAAGGTCGGTTCCGCCGGCTGCTCCCAGGGCCCGGCCAACTGGACCTGGACACACAGAGGCGGAGCGGTCGGTTCCGACGGGACCCGGTCCGGACCCGGTCGGAGCGGACTCCACGGCGACGGCCTACCTGCTGGGACCGGACCAGCACCAGGTCGTGGCAGGGCCGGGGGCAGGCGTGGCGGCAGCCGGGCAGCGGCAGCAGGCAGGGCCGCGCGCAGGGCGGGCAGGGCCCCGGGTGGCAGCGGTGGGGCTCCCCGTCCCGGTGGTGGCAGCTGGGCGGCAGCCTGCGGGCAGAGACAGGATGACGACCCGCCGGACCTCCGGAACCAACCGGCGGCCCGGCCCGGTACGACGCCTACCTGCAGGGCTCCCTGCAGCGGGGCGGCTTGGTGCTGCGCTCTCGGCCGCACGGAACCACCAGAACCGACGAGCCGCAGCTGCAGCGGACCGGAACCGTCTCCGGACACGGGTAGCAGCTTCCTGGGATGGGGTCAGATCAGATCAGAACCGGACCGCCTTCAGAGGTCAGTAGAACCCAGGTCAGGTTCTACAGACACCTGAACATGACCAGAACCACAATACTCTTGATTAAAACTGACTTTGGACCAGAACCAAGTATGAATTCTGGACCGGTTCTGTTTGGACCCGGTCAGGACCACTGCAGGGCTCATTAAAATGCCTCAGAGGCAACAGCTGATCGACCCGGTTCGCCGGCTCCAGATAACAGACGGGTTCTGGTTCTGATCCGGCTCACGTCAACACCGCAGTCTGAGAGTTCACAGGTCACACACTCACTAACCAGACCGATCCGGCATCAGAACCAGAACCAGGTCCACACAAACACGAAGAGCTACGCACTCAGCTCTTATCGGTCAGGTGTAACGCAGCAACGGAAAGGTCAGAGCAGCCAATCAGCACGCAGACGGCCGAACACTGCTGGGAGCCAATCAGAGGCTGAGATGGTTTATCAGGAACAACGGAGACACACACACACACACTGACACACACACACACACACTGACACACACACACACACACACTGACACACACACACACACACTGACACACACACACACACTGACACACACACACACTGACACTGTTTATCAGAGTGTGTGTGTGTGTGTGTGTGTGTGTTTATCAGAGTGTGTGTGTGTGTGTGTGTGTGTGTTTATCAGAGTGTGTGTGTGTGTCTCTCCATGTTTATCAGTCAGAGGAAATGTCAGCTGAATGAGCTGCAGAAGGCGTCAGGGTCAGAGGTCAACCTGAGGCTCAGTGGAGCAGCCAGAACGACCCGGATCGGACCGGTAAATCAGATTTCTGATAGAAATAAAAATGTATTAATGATAGGAAACAAAGATTGGTCTGGTCCAAATGCTCCGGGTAAGAACTGCTGGCTGCACAGAGTAGTACTGGAAGGTTGAGTGGAAGGAAAAACTACAGCAGAAGTTTCCTTCTGGATGATGTCAGATTATTTTCTGTTTCTGAGCCGCAGATGAAGTTAAAGTAAATTTAACTGGCAGTTTTTCAGCTCATTGCTGGCAGCAGAAACAGATCAAATGATTACTGATCGATCGCATCATTGATGGATGATGTTTAATGGTGCGGTGCCGTTACCTTGGTGACAGCCGGAGGGACACTTATGGTTCCTGCAGCCCAGAGTGCGACCGCAGATCTGATCGCAGGGGGGGCAGTTTACCAGGGCAACACTGAGACACAGAGCATTATGGGAAATGAGTTTAAAGGGCCTGCTAGCTGGTCATCAGGTGAGGGGCTAAGACGACCTCTGACCTTCCTCCTGCACTGGTGTCTCTGGCAGTTCCTGGTCTGAGGACACTTGGCGTCACAGAGGTACTCCTTATGGCACGCCATCGGCTTCTTGTGGCGCCCGCAGCGGCACGCCTTCTCCACCTCCTGCAGGACAACAGCGGTACTGCAACTGCTGCTGCACCGTGTGTGTGTGTGTGTGTGTGTGTGTGTGTGTGTGTATGTGTGTGTGTGTGTGTGTGTGTGTGTGTGTGTGACCTGTCTGCAGGTCTCGCAGCTCCCTCGGTGGCATCGCATCGAACACGTGTGCTTCAGACACGACAGGCGGCGGTCACACGTGTCGCCGCAGGGCGGCACTTCCTCTGTACACGGCAGAGACGACTCTACACACAGAAACACGAGCTTAACTCCAGAACCAGAACCGAACCGCAGCAGAACCCGCTGTGTGTCTCTTACTGGTCTTCCCGCAGGGACAGGACCTGCTGACGGACCGGGGGCATGGAGGACAGGCTCCATCGTGACACACCTCCTCACAGGTGTGATTCCCACAGGACAGCCGCGCTCCACACACCTGACACACAAACACTGGATCAGAAACCCGATCCAGGTCCAATCGGGACAGAATCGGGTCAACTGGACCCATCAGACCTTATATATATTGATTCCAGCCAGCAGGGGGCGTCAGAGCAGCGTTAATCAATCTATTTGTTCCAATGAGGATGAGCTGTTGGAGCTCTGGCTCCCCCTGGTGACCAGAGCTGGTACTGCACCAATACCTGCTGGCAGGTCCAGCGGGGGCTGGCACAGGGCCTCTCTGCTGTCTGCCGTCCGCACACACACCTCTGGAGGCTGACCCTGGGACAGGGGGGGCACTCTGATACACACACACACACACACACACACACACACACACACACACACACACACACACACACACACACACACACACACACACACACACACACACACACACACACACACAGAAGGTCAGTCTGAGGTCATAACAATGTTTCACAGGGTTAAACCCTGAAAAATTACAGAAAAATTCAACAAGGCTGCCATATTTTTCGCACCTCAAAGGTTTGGAACGCAATATTCCTCACCCTTGTGTTTACCTGTGTGACAGGGCTGGGTGCAGGTGTGTGTTTACCTGTGTGACAGGGCTGGGTACAGGTGTGTGTTTACCTGTGTGACAGGGCTGGGTACAGGTGTGTGTTTACCTGTGTGACAGGGCTGGGTACAGGTGTGTGTTTACCTGTGTCAGGGCTGGGTGCAGGTGTGTTTACCTGTGTGACAGGGCTGGGTGCAGGTGTGTGTTTACCTGTGTGACAGGGCTGGGTACAGGTGTGTGTTTACCTGTGTGTCAGGGCTGTGCAGGTGTGTGTTTACCTGTGTGACAGGGCTGGGTACAGGTGTGTGTTTACCTGTGTGACAGGGCTGGGTACAGGTGTGTGTTTACCTGTGTGACAGGGCTGGGTGCAGGTGTGTGTTTACCTGTGTGACAGGGCTGGGTGCAGGTGTGTTTACCTGTGTGACAGGGCTGGGTGCAGGTGTGTGTTTACCTGTGTGACAGGGCTGGGTGCAGGTGTGTGTTTACCTGTGTGACAGGGCTGTGTGCAGGTGTGTGTTTACCTGTGTGACAGGGCTGGGTGCAGGTGTGTGTTTACCTGTGTGACAGGGCTGGGTGCAGGTGTGCTGCTTACAGGCCAGCAGCTTCCCACACTGCTGCTGGCAGGACCAGGACTGGAGGCAGAGAAAACAGTGTAAACTTGAGGCAGAAACAAGATGGCCGCCTTGCCAACGCAGCGCCTGCGTCCTGCAGGTAGCGTAATGACAGCTCACAGGAGCCTGACATGGTCAGTTACCTTGTTGCTACAGCGACGGGGGAGGGGCTTAGCTTTGCCACACAAGCAGGACACGGACACCATCTTTGGACATGGCGGACATGGACCTGGAGACACGCAGAGACGGAGCGGTTCAGGCTGTTGCCATAGCGCCCACTGACTGAGGACGGTTCTGGTCGGTAACCAGCAACAGAACCAGGTGTGTGCGTTACCAGGGTGACAGAGCAGCAGACAGGTGTGTCCACAGCTGGGTCTGAGTTCCTGCTGGCAGACGGAGCCGCAGGAGTGAGGAACCAGCCAGGGGTCGGCCGGAGGGTCCTGCAGCTTCCCGCAGTAGCACATGTACCTGAACGCAACACGGAGACAAGAGGGCCCAGTGGGTCAGAACCTCAGAGCCAGTCTCTGGACCAGTCAAAGTAAAGGCCTACCTGTTGGGTGTGGCGCTGGGAGGATATTCGGTTCTGCACTTTGGACTGAGGAGAGAGGATGAGGAGAGTTAGAACATTCCTGCAGGCAGTGAACGCACCACAGATGATCTGAATCAGATGACAGAAACGGTAAAACCAGGCGGAACGTAGCAGTCTGTGTTTCTCACCAGGGCCAGGGATGCTGCTTCTGACCAAAGTCTTCATCTGTGACAGAGGAGATGAGGAAGACCGAGTCTCTGGCCCACTTCTGGATGCAGGGCAGGTGGAAGAGGGAGAAGCAGCCGGAGCAGCTCCACACCTGGACAGGTGGAGAAAACCCTGAGTTCAGACTGACAGGTGGTGTAAAGCCTGAGTGTGTGTGTGTGTGTGTGTGTGTGTGTGTGTGTGTGTGTGTGTGTGTGTGTGTGTGTGTGTGTGTGTGTGTGCTACCGGCTGCGTCCTCTTGACCGAGGCGATGCAGATCAGGCAGGTGAGCGCTCCGGACTGAAACATGTCGCTCAGGTACTGGCCGGTTCTGGTTAGAGCTGACGCATCGCCGCCTGATCAGAGGGAGAACAAGTCAAAACCAGAACCAGAACTCGGTCCTGCTCAGAGCAGAACTGGGCTCACCTGTCTGGCTGGTGTAGGAGGTGAAGGTGGACTCCAGGATCCTTCCTCTCTGTCTGTCTCCATCGTCTTCGTCATCTTCATCAGAGGAAGAGGAGCTGACCCGACTCTCCACCAGGCGCAGGGCTGCGGCCTGGTTGGACCTCCGGATCTCCTCGAACTTGGACTGGACCGACTCACCTGCGTAGAGAGGGGAACAGTTCAAGTCCTGGATCGGTTCTGACCCGGTTCTGACACGCAGGGCTCCCAGATCTTCATCACCTTTGGCAGGTGCAGGGTTCGTCTTCGCACTCCGTCCTACTGGGTCCCCCGGCCTGTCCTTCTGCAGGGGGCGGGGCCTGTCACCTTGACCCTCCTGACCCCGGCCCCGCCCCCTGCCCTGCTGTCTCCAGGCCGGCTCCATGGCAACACCACCAGGCTCTGACTACACACAGAAAAAACCTGCAGTTACAGCTAGCGGGACCAGTGCGCATGCGCCAGGTGTGTGGCGCTGAAACCGGGGTCGGTTCTGCTCCACATGGACCCCACACCAGCCTGGGTTCTACCGCTGTCCCGGACCGGACCATTTCCTCCCGGAACCGGCTTAAACCAGCTGGGTCATGTACCTGTCAGCCAGGCTAACAGAGACAAGCTAACAGCCGCTCAGGTTCGGATGAAAGCCGTCGGAACCAGCCGAACCCCGGCGGTAACCGCCTCACAAACACACACAGAGCAGTTAGCAGGAGCAGCGGCGGCAGCGGCTTCAGCCTCGGAGCTCAGAAACAAACACAAAGAGCCGCAGAAAGGAGGAAAACTCACCTCAGCAGCGCGAGAGCCGCTGGACGCCGCTGCGCATGCGCACTGACCGGCAGGCGCAAGCTGGGTCTTGTAGTTCTTTCAGCGTTGGTGCCTCATAGACCAGGGCTTAGACTGAAACTACATCTCCCATAACGCCACCAAACTCGCGCGTGACGACACAAACTGTGACGTGTCATTCCGTATCTGCGCATGCGTATTTCTCTGCTGGGTAAATAAATCTGAATAAATCTGTGACTTCATCTGGCAAAGTAAGTGCACCCGAATCTCCGTCTGGTGGAAGTTAGTGAACCTGTTTTTCAATCCGCGGCCGCCAGGGGGCGCCAGAAGACACAGAAACCTGGGGAACACAACGTTATCATACATATTAAATTATATTTTTACAATAAAATCTTATCGGGGTTTCAGTCATTATTACAAAACATAAAATAGTTTATTTAAATGTTGTTTTCCACGTTCATGCTTGTAGCTTTTCTATCTATAGTATTTAGCAGGATATGAAATGAAACAAGTGGGTGTTAACTTTCTTATAAAATATATTTATTTCTGCAGTTTCTCCATCACATTTGCATCATTAAAAAGCATCAGGTAAAGCCCAGAAGACCTGGTTCTGAATCCAGCTGGGTCAGGAGGAACATGCCGGTCTCTGGTTCTGGTCTGCAGCCGATAAACTGGAAACTAAAGCAAACCTGGAGAAATGGACGCTGGTTGTTATGAAATCTAGAGGGTTGGTAGAACTCAGGCGGTTCAGACCGGCTGGCATTCAGGCCTCAGGGGAAGATTCTCCTCTACGTTCACACAAGCTAGCAGCCAACTTATTGTTTCACATGTGTTACATAATAATTACAACTGTTTATGTTGTAATGTCTCTCAGACATGAGAAAGAAAGACTACATGCAGGTGAAACCTCCTCCTCTGGACTGCTGCGTCCTTCAGGATCCGATCAGTCTCCTTTCCTACAGGAAGTCTTCCCAGTGCTCCCAGTGCTCCTCAGCAGTCCCAGCACCTGGTCATTAACTACACCCTCATTAACTCAGAGGACTTTAATCTAAGGATCCATAGTTACACATTTATTAACTTGTTGAGTTTATGGATTTATCTAATTTCTCGTCTCCTTCAAGTCCTTTTATTCTCAAACTAAAACTCAAATTCTTCTGTCCTCCACCATGTTATTATTTCTTCTCTTCTTCTTTGGTGGTCTCAGGTGTGGGAGGGGGCGGAGCATCACCAGGTGCATCCTCGCGTGGCGGCGCCAGCTTCTTCTCCAGTCGGGTGACTCGGTGTTTGAGTTTGCTGTGAGTCGCATCGTGTTCTGCAGCAGCCGGGCGTACTGGGTCTGCAGCGTGTCCAGGTTGCTCGTCATCCGGTCCACCTTCTCCTCGATCTCTTTGGGGTCTGGGCCCTGCGCTGCCACCTGGTGGACAAATAGAGAACCTTTTACTTTCAGGAACACTTTAGTAGCTTCCTGCCCTGAGCCACATCCTGTGGCCATACCTCCAGATCCAGCAGTCCATCCTTCATCAGAATCTGCCGTCCCTTCTCCTCCAACAGGGCTTTAGCATCAGGATACTCTGTCAGCGCCTCCATCAGGTCGTCTTTGGAAAGACAGAAGAGGTCGGAGTATCCGATGCTCCTGATGTTAGCTGTCCTCCTGTTTCCTGCCTTACTACCTGTTTGACACAAGAAGGAAGTGTTTCTAATGGTTCTGTAGGAGAGACCTCCAGTCCATCATGACCTCTCACCTTTGATAGCCAGGATACTGATCTCCCCAAAGTAACTTCCTTCACTTAGAACAACGAACTGTGTGACGCCGTCATCAGCCACCACAGCCAGCTTCCCTTCCTTGATGATGTACATCTCCCTGCCGATGTCGCCCTTCTTGCAGATGTAGTCTCCTGGACTGAAGACCTGCGGCTGCAGCTTCAGCACCAGCTCCACCAACAGGCCAGCCTCGCAGTCCGCAAAGATCCGGACCTGCAGAATCAATCAGAGGAAGATGTACCAAAGGTTTGTATCCTTCCGTTGCAGAGGAGGAACTGGAAGCAAGAACAGACCTTCTTCAGGGTGTCCAGATGTACGTTGATGGCGATCTCGGCCCTTAGCTTGTCAGGAAGGTATTTCAGAACCTCTCTCTCATCCACAGCCTTCTTATTGGTCCACAGGAAGTCAAACCACTTAATCACTCGCTTTTCCAGGTCTTTAGTTACCTACAGAGGAGGAAGAAAGTCTTTCAGAATAAGTCCTTTACCTTTACAGGAAGAAATGCAGTTATGGTTCACAGGTATAGATGTTTAAAGAGTTGATTAACTTTACAAATGTTGGAACATTTCCCCAACCAGTTGCTTCAAGTTCCTCTAGTGACTTTGCAGACAGTAACTTTGAGTAGATTAACGGACCACAGAATGGGAAGCCCAAGAAGAGGGAACTCCACCTTTCGGAAACTCATGTACTGCTTGATGGCGTCGATCCGGGCCTGGAAGTCGGCTCTGGCAGCATTCATGTTAGTGATCATCGAGCCGACGTTACCGACAATGGTAGCAAAGATCAGCACACCCACCTGGAGGACAGGAACAGTTCATTCATATAATTTTGACAGGTAGGTTGTTAGACTTCACATTGCTTTGATAAGAGTTCAGGATTTCCGGAACCACAAGCTTCAGCAAAGCTTCATCCTGTGTTTATCAGGGATGGTGCATTTTCACATCTGTCATGTTAAGTAAGACCCAGTAACACATACTAATTCTTGTCCAAGTTTATATTACAGTAAATATTACATATACAAGAATAAAGGCAAATAGAACCTGCGGTTCTGTAAGGAATGACCCACCAGGAAGTCCGTCACAACAAAGAAGTACTCCTGAGTTCTCCACAGGGGGCGGCGTTTCTCCAATCGTGGTTAGCGTTAGCGTGGACCAGTACATACTGTAGGCGTACTTTCTCACCAGACGGCCAAACTCAGGATCTGTCGGGTCGGGATACACAAACCTGTCAGAACCAAAACCTGGAGGAAAAATCGGTAAGTAGAGTTAGAATAATTACAAAGACATTTCAGAGGAGCCAACATGTGCAACATGACCTACCAATGGCTTTGGAGAAGGAGTAGTAGAGACAGGCGTTCCAGTGGATGATGATGAGAATGTATGACCAGGTTGGAGATACGTAGAGCATTGGGGTAATTGGTTCTGGTCTCAGTGCGCTGGAAGAACTCCATCATCCTGAAACGGAGGCACAGGACGTGAACCCGGTTCAGAGAGCCAGAAGTTAGAAGCTCCTGCCGCTGGAGTAAAACTGGGCTCACTAAATTATGGACTGAACTCAACCCCAGCACACTGTGGTCCCAACTGTGGAGCTGAAGGTTATGGATTACATTTTCTCAGCAATATTATAACAACAATGTACCTGAAACGATCTTGAGACTGAATAATGGAAAATGCATGAAAACATGGAGACACCAACTGAAGCTTGAACTTTCTAAGATCATAAATGTGACAGTCAGTGTTAAGACTGTTTCCATGAATATGGTGGTCAGTATTTTGTCTGCTTGGATCCATTTCCCACTGCGTGGGTCTAGAAACTCAAGTGTTGATGAACCAGTAAGAGTCTCAGTTACCTATTGAATCGGAGAAGCTTGTTGAGGCGGATCTCAGGGTAGGTGGTACCAAGAATGAGGTACAGGATGTCAGTGGGAATCATAGAGACCAAATCCAGTTTGAACTGGAAAGTTTCATGTAACGTTCACGTAGTTTCTGCTCGTCTTTCACCAGTAAACCCTGCTCCAGGTAACCTAGGGTCACATGTATGCTTCATTAGTACACAGGTGTGAAAACAAATGCTTGATCATGTGAGTCAGCGTGCATTCAGACCTGTCCTGGTTCTGAAAACCATGTCCATGATGTAAATGACGTCACAGATAAAGTCCACAATGAACCACATGATCAGGTAGTCAGTCTGAAGCTCCTCAAAACAAGCCCTGGAAACAGACACGGTGTACGACTCTTCAATAAGACAAGTGGACTTTGAGACGCTCCAGCTGTGAACATCTCCTACAAAGCTGACACTAAGAATGGCAGTGAAAGGTAGAGCGTGAATGTAGAATCCCTGTGGTGGAGTTTACCTGGTTCCCTGAACTAAAGGCAATCAAAGGCCTGGGCTGATCTAATGCATTGTCCCAGATCTCAGACTGACAATGAGGGAACAGCTCGTCTTTCTGCAGCCCAAAACAAGCTCAGCAGGATTGTACTGGTACTTTAAGGGTAATGTCTGCTGACAGACCCCAGTATCCAATCAGATAGATGGAAATGACTGGACTGGATGGTCCGGTCTCAGAAAACTGGACTGGATGATACCTTGTGTTCAGTTGGACTCTTCAGAACCTGATGGTACCTGATGGTGACAGGTCCCATCAGGTACCACCAGGTCCCATCAGGTACCATCAGGTACCATCAGTACCATCAGGTCCCATCAGGTACCATCAGGTACCATCAGGTACCAACCAGGTACCACCAGGTACCATCAGGTCCCATCAGGTACCACCAGGTCCCATCAGGTACCATCAGGTACCATCAGGTCCCATCAGGTCCCATCAGGTACCATCAGGTACCACCAGGTCCCATCAGGTACCACCAGGCTGTTGTACCTGGTTTCTCCTGGGCAGTTCTCTGTGAGTCGGGTACCTGGCTATGATCAGGGTCCAGTTGTACATGACTGGGATGGTGATGACTAAGAGCCAGTGGTAGTACGTGTTCCCAGCTGGATCGATCACTGTGATCTCTTTCGCCCTGCAGACAGAAACCATGACAGGTGTCAGTCATGATGCATCACTTTAAGGTTTAGGGCTCCAGTGAACCTACGCCTCCTCTTGGCCTTCTTCTCCTTCTCCAGCTTCTCCTTCTCTTTCTGTTTCTCCTTCTCCTTCTCTTCCTTCTCCTTCTGTTTCTGCTCCTTCCTTTCCTTCTTCTCCTGCTTTTCCTTTCTGAAACCCAGAAGACATGATTGAACTTTGATGAAATCCACACAATCATCACCGTCCAGTTGAGAAGCAGTCAGACTTACTCTCTTTTCTCTCTTTTCTCCTTTTTCTCCTTCTTTCTTTCTTTTTCCTCTT